GTTATCCAAGCCCTATCATCCAGCTAACCTATCTCCTTTCAAAACACCTTTGTATCAATCTACCTTTAAAAACGATTAGTCCCTTTTCGAACTTTCTTTTTGAAATACGTTGAAAATAAGTAGTTAAATTTTCAAATTTCTCGAAATACTTCCCGAAAATTCTTTACAATTCGAAGCTTCCCTTTTTTTGAAATTTCACGATCGAAATTACTTTTTTTCCTCAAAATTATTTCTTTTCCGAATTACTTTTGTACTAGTCTCGAAAATACGTCCCAATTAATTCGTTAGTTCCACAAAATCTTTTCGAAATACTTTAGAATTAAATCACCCCTTTTCACAAATTTCTTTGAAAATCTTTTCCGTTTGAAATTTTCCTTCTGAACTTCTCTTTTGCATTAATTAATTAGTTCTTTCTCAAAATTTTGAATTTAAAAATACTTTTGAACTCGTTACTTCTTTTCGAAATTTCTTTGAAATATTTTGAAATTAATTAATTATTTTTCTTCGAAATTTCTTTTTCTTTTTTGAAATTTCTTGAATACTTTAGAATTAATTCCTCTCTTTTTTTTAAATACCCTCAATTTCTTTCCACATTCCTTGGAATTCTTTTGCAGCTCAAAATTAGCCCTTTTCCAAAATTTTGAATTCACATATTGAAATTTGAAATTCAGTACAAATTATTTCAAAATTTCTTTTCTTTGCCGACATTTCTTTAAATTCACGTTCGTGCAAGGAAGATGAGCGATAGCGAACTTCAGCAATCAAACAGCATCATACACATAAGACCAGATAGTTGTGACCTCGAACCAACAGCAGAATTGCATCACGAGTTTCACCAAATAAGAACACACCAAGAGCTCATAATTGACAATGCTTAAATAGTCTCATCATCATCATCAACAACGAACCAATGTTCATATCCTATCTGGCGCTCGGCGCCCAGACTACAAATGGCAGATCCAATCTAGCCTATACTACAATGTCGAAGATGACGACAATAGCTCTCCCGAAGTACGAGCAGATAGCGGCCAATGCCGCAAGCTTCCAGCACCAGGTATGTCTCTCGCATCACTCACAACCTCATTCCTCAACACACAGATGCCACATGCACCCAAGGACCACCCTGCGCCACACCCAGCTCACAGCAGCGCAGCTCGGCTATGGCTGCCCGCTCCTCCCTGCTCGCCCGTGAGCGCATGAGCGCTAGCCAGCTTCAGCGCAGCAACGCTTGCGCAGCATGCAGCATGCAGCCAGCACCCGAATGCTAAATGAGGAGGCAGGCCCTTTGCTATATGGAAGTGGCCTGCCTGCTGCTGCGCTGGGCCTGTCCCAAGAAGCTTCCAGTAGGCCCCGGGAGGCTGAGCCTCAGTCCCAACGAATTGGCCCTGGGCCATTGACAGTTACCTGTGCCCAACTGCCCACAGCCTCAGTTGGGCCTATGCTGCGAATCTCGCCCAGGGCCTGGGCGCTTCCAACCAACTGGCGCTGCGCAACTGCCTGAATTTTCCCCAGTTGCGAAGTAGTCCAAAATAGGCCTCTTAAGGTCCGTCGGGCCTGCCTTCACTTCGGGCGGCCGACGCTATTGCAAATAGGGGCCCAGTAGGGCTTATCAAGGCCTTGTGCCTCACATTCCCTCCTCCATACTTCGCTAGTCCTCTGAGAAGTTCAGTCTTCGATAATCTGGCGCTTTCCTTTCCGTAGAGACTTCTCATAGTGGGCGACTACCTGTGGAGCAGTCTGCATCCGTTCCTCCCTTGTGAACCATCTGTCCTCCTTTGGATCAGTGTGATGTCTGAACCGAACTCGATACTGCAGCTTCGGTGAGTTCGGTTCTGGCAGCTTCGGTTTTGGCAGCTTCGGTTTTGGAGGACGTCCTCTACCTGTTGGTCTTAGAACTGACATCTCCCTGTCGTCAACAATGTCGTCGATGTCGACCTCTCCATCCATGGTTGGGGGCAGCATAGAGCGACGAGAGGGAAACTGGTGAATTTCTTTGAATGGTGCAAGCTTAGAAGCGTGAAAAACAGGGTACGTACGTAAGTGACCAGGGATGCGAATAACATACGACGGCCCATCCGGTTCATTCCCAACAACATCCAAAATCTCCCAGGGTCCAAAGTACTGTGGCATGAGCTTGCGGGAGATCCCGTGCTCCTGTCCCAGTTTTGAGGACTTGACCCAGACTCTCTCTCCTACCTGGACCGTGGATGGGTGGCGATGTTTGTTCTCAGACTCTATCATCGCCGCCTGTGTCTTGTGCATCTGTTCAACAGCCTGCTGCATCAGCTGCTCATATTAATAAGGAAACTCTAAAGTCCCTGGTGCAACAGAGGGCTGGTTCTCAGGTAGTAAGAAATCCAAGGGCAGTCTAGGCTTAAAGGTTAATAGCAGACTATTCGGGCTCACGCCTGTTGCGCTGTGGACCGCATTGTTGTACAGGCTGGCAATGAGAGCAAGTTTCTCATCCCAGTCCACCTGATTTGGCTTGATGTAATGCCTCAACAGGTGTTGTACAACGCGGTTCAACTGTTCTGCTTGTCCATTCGCCTCAGGATGGTTTCCTGATGTCATCTGCAACTGCGTTCCTTGTTCTGCAGCTGTGGCTTTCCACAATTCACTTGTGAATCGCACATCACGGTCACTGACTATCAACTTTGGCAATCCAAAATCTCTAACCCAGTTCTCTTTGAACAGCTTAATCACATGCTCAGTCTTCGCTGTCTCCGACATTGCAACTAACCTACCGTACTTACTAAACCTATCCACGATAACAAAGATGTGTCTCATTCCGCTCTTGCTGGTGACCAGCGTGTCCATGAACTCCATAGACAGGCTCTCACCGGGCCTTTCCTGGATCGGAAGGGGCTTGAGGAGCCCAAGAGGGGCCTGCGTACGGGGCTTGTCTCTCTGACAGACCTGACGAGTCTCCACGTACAGCTTAGCATCTCTCATCATCGTGGGCCACCAGAACCGCTGCAGCATTTTGGCTGCAGTCTTTTTGAAGCCAAAATGACACTCGCCTCAAAATAAGCTACGCAAAGACTCACTATCTGGTACACACAGACGTTTATTCCCTGCCTTCTCAAGGAACAGCAGTCCGTTGACCAACTCAAACTCGGCAGAAGTCGCTTTGTCCTTCGCCTCGAGTCTGCGTATGATCTCAGACATAAACCGGTCCTCGCGATAGGCTTCCACCATAGATTGAGTAACATCGTCCGCAAGCCCAAACTCAGTGATCAGCGCACCAGAGAAA